AGGATTCTTGGGTGTTTTTGAAGCCACTGACTAACAGGGCTATCCATGTGGAAACTAGATCTCTTCCTGAATAGAGACTTGGCTGAGTTTCATACCTTGTAACTATGTAATAGTTAAATGTATGTAATTATGCCTTGGATTAGGCTAGATTAAGGCATGCTGCAACCCTAAATTTAAATATAAGAAATCCTGTAGCATTGCTATTGAGAGAGAGAGAGAGAGAGAGAGAAAGAGAGAGAGAGAGAGAGAGAGAGAGAGAGAGAGAGAGAGAGAGAGGTGTTTCACAGACAGAATACTCTTGAATCCCTAAAGTGTAGCTTATTTAAGGACACTATATAAAATAGGAGTTATGTTTATCTTACTCAATGGGATATCGGATTACATATTTATTTTTTATTTTATTTATTTATTTTATTTATATCCCGCCTATCTGGTCGGGTCAGGACCACTCTAGGCGGCTAACAACCATAAAAAGTACAATAAAAATATATAAACAATTTAAATAATAAAAGCCATACACAGAGTAAGAGAAACAATAGAAGAGGAAAGAAAAGGCGTCAGGAATTGTCTAATGGGAAGGCCTGCCAAAACATCCATGTCTTTAATTGATTCTTAAAGATAACCAGCGAGGAAGCCCCGCGAATCTCAGGAGGTAGGTTGTTCCAGAGGTGAGGAGCCACCGCCGAGAAGGCCCGATTTCTTGTCTTTTCCTTCCGGGCCTCCTTCGGCGTTAGGCGCCTCAACCTCACCTCCTGGCTCACACGAGTGACACAGGTCGGTGGGAGTAGGCGTTCGGCCAAGTAACGAGGCCCTAAACCGTTTAGGGCTTTGTACGTGAGCATCAACACTTTGAAGTCGATGCAGCATCGGATGGGAATCTTCTATTTTGTGCTGACTCAGTCTCTGTGTGGAACCACGATGACCTTTAGTGCTGGAAAATTTAGCAGTATACCTCCACTACTTTAATTTCAAATACAAGATCTATAGTCACAAACACACAGCTACATAAAGTTTCTCAGGAACATACTTGGAAACAATACCTTTTCAAACGATCAGACCTTGGAACAGGAAACCTTTTGGATCACAATACCTTTTTGGACTATAATCCCCAGAATCCAAGTTGTAGGACACGTAACAATGAGCTCAATCTAAGGGAAGCCATGCTTTGATTTGGATTCCTGCCTTGAGCGAGGGGTTGGACTCAATGGCCTTATGAGTCCCTCCCAACTCCATTTTTCTATGATTTAAAAAATGAGACTCCCGAGTTCTGGATTCTTCCAACTCCATTATTCTATGATTTAAAAAATGAGACTCCCGCGTTCTGGACTGGTAAATCTACCAATTGATCTGCATTTAGTTTTAAAAATAGCAGCAGGAACAACATAAGAACCAAAATTGTTTGGAGCTGTTAAAGAGGAGAGACATAATGATGTGACCGCACGTAGGAGTCCTTTCTAATCAGAGAAAAGTTTACATTTTGAAGAAGATGCTGCTGATTTCCAAAGAGTGTAATTAAATGATGTATTGTGTTAACATTTCTCCTTCTTTCAGCTCAGACTCTGAGCAAGATACCTAGACAGAATATTTTTATGAAAACACATCCATGTGGGAGAAATTAAGTAACAACATCTCAAACCAGTAGAAAAAGCAGCAGTTGGTTTTGAAAGTACAGGGTGTCTTGGAAGATACGGAAGTGAGAAGTTCTTAAGGCTGCAATATAGCACCAACATCTCAAACCAGTAGAAAAAGCAGCAGTTGGTTTTGAAAGTACAGGGTGTCTTGGAAGATACGGAAGTGAGAAGTTCTTAAGGCTGCAGTATAGCACTATATAAACATAGTTTGTAAGTAAAAGACTCCTACACAGAAAGAAAAATTTACCTAGGTCATATTTGTTTCTTGCCTTTTGTTGATGGAAAGCAGTGCAGCATGTCTGGATTTAATCAGTTTGTCTGGCTGTTGTTGTTTAAAACATAAGTATTTAACAAAATTTAGAATCATATGATAAATGTGAACATAGGAGAAACAAAATCTGACAGGTTTGTGCATCCGAACTCAGAACTCCCCATCTGAGTCAGAATCCCTGTGTATTCAACTATGTCAGTGAGCAATTATAGTTGCTGGCCAACTTTTTTATTCTCAAAGACCCTTCCTCAACAACAGCTATGTGTTTGGCTGATACAATACAGCCCTTTCCATGTCAAGAATAGCTATATCAGTTGAACTTGGCTAGTGAAGATAGGCAATTTTTTTCCCTTTGGTTAATTCTCGAAGAATTTGACAAAATATTGGCGAAGGCTTTCACGGCCGGGATCTAATGGTTGTTGTGGGTTTTTTGCCGTGTTCTGAAGGTTGTTCTTCCTAACGTTTCACCAGTCTCTGTGGCCAGCATCTTCAGAGGACAGTACAGAGTGCCACAGAGACTGATGAAACGTTAGGAAGAACAACCTTCAGAACATGGCCAAAGAGCCCAAAAACCCCACAACAACCAGTTTGACAAAACTTTGCGTACTTGCTGTGCCACCCAGAGTAGACCTTTGGTCTAGATGGGCAGGGTAGAAGTCTAATAAAATAAAACAAATAAGAAGGACCAGTTGAGCAAAGAGCCCGAAAAACCCACAACAACCAATTTGACAAAACTTTGCGTACTTGCTGTGCTGCCCAGAGTAGACCTTTGGTCTAGATGGGCAGGGTAGAAGTCTAATAAAATAAAACAAATAAGAAGGACCAGTTGAGATCACCTGGAATATGTGTGGCTGATAGGGCTTCATGCCCCGTGCAGCCTTGGTGATGCTGTATGGTCCAAGAACACTGCCAGAATAAGGGACTGATAAGCTACCTTTGAGTCTTTTAATAACTAGAAAATGCTGGGAAGGGCTGCCAGAAGTTGGAATCAACATGATGGCATGTCATTTTTAATGCTTACAACATTAGGTGAGTTGAATTAGACCTAGTGGCATATTTGTGTAAAGGAACATATTTGTGGTACAAATGGAATTTATTCAGTGTTGCAACTCTAAAATAAAGGTAGGATTTCTATATTTTTTTAATTACAGATCTCATGACAAGTAACACTATTGAAATAAATCAGGTGATAGACCGGGGTTTCTGAAGTCAATTTAAAGTTCATGTAGGTTTTAGGTCATTGTGTGCATTATCTCGGGATACTATTGAAATAAATCAGGTGATAGACCGGGGTTTCTGAAGTCAATTTAAAGTTCATGTAGGTTTTAGGTCATTGTGTGCATTATTTCGGGATAACTTTTAATCCATTTTAAACTGTGTTGTATATCAGTCGAGAGGGCTACATGAGCTTTTTAAATCATTACATTTGAGGCTTTGTTCTGTATCTGCCCTTGCACTGTGTGGGGTCTATCAAGAAAAGGATGCCAGTATCACAGGTTTCAGGCTGCGGCAAAACCTTGCAGTCTGATCTGTCATTTTTCTCCCTCTCTGTAATACTTGAACTAGCACTATCCCAGTTTGAAAGAAATAAAAATATTGAAAATATTAAAAATAATACCAGCAGCAGCAGCAACAGTAAGTACCTATTTTGGACCACTATTTTTATAGTGGACACAGAAAACTTGTTGTGTTTGAATCTTCATCAAATTACACTAGCTTTTTGATCTTGTTTTAAGAATTCCTTTGAGGTTTTTTAATTGATTCTCCATTGCCTACCTTGCTCTTGCTTTGTCTGTACTGTTTTAAGGGGTTTTAAGGGCTTTTTGGATGAGTGCTAGATGCAACACAAATGGGGGAAATGAAATGGAAGTATCTAATTGATTCTCCATTGCCTACCTTGCTCTTGCTTTGTCTGTACCATTTTAGGGGGTTTTAAGGGCTTTTGGATGACTTCTAGATGCAACACAAATGGGGGAAATAAAATGGAAGTACTGTACCTGAAAAACCCTGTCCCTTTCACGTTTAGTGAAAGACCTAAAAAAGAATGAGGCACCTCTTGAATGCACTCAAAATGCCCTTTCACGTTTAGTGAAAGACCTAAAAATGAATGAGGCACCTCTTGAATGCACTCAAATCAAACCCAAAGTTTTCGCCATGCACATTCCTACTAATTATGCCTCCTGAGCTACATGGCTCCTGTTTCAATAGCAATGATAGGATGTCACAGCTGATTAGTCTAAACACTACATTCACACCTTTGTGTGATATAGTGTTTAGAGTACTGAACAAGGATGTGAGCAGTCCAGGATTTTGTCTCCAATGAGCTGTGGAATGATAGGATGTCACAGCTGATTAGTCTAAGCACTACATTCACACTTTTGTGTGGTATAGTGTTTAGAGTACTGAACAAGGATGTGAGCAGTCCAGCATTTTGTCTCCAATGAGCTGTGAAACCAGAGTCAGGTGCACATTCTCAGATCGACCGACCTTGCAGAATTGTCTCCAATTCAATCTTTGTCCTGGACTTCGACATATTTGCAAGCCTCCCTGTGACTTGCATTAGAAAACCAGAGTCAGGTGCACTTTCTCAGACCGACTGACCTTGCAGAATTGTCTCCATTTCAATCTGTGTCCTGGACTTCTACGTATTTGCAAGCCTCCCTGTGACTTGCATTAGAAAACCAAAATGGCGTTCTTGTTTTTCTTATTACAGAGATGTACATGAACTAAGAATGAATAAGTGGATCAGATTGGGTACAGAGTGCAAGAGAGAGAGAGAGAGAGAGAGAGAGAGAGATGCACACCTGCCAAATTTTGAAGTGTTTTAGATGAGACACCTTTAGAATTTGGGGGTTTTTTTTCCCAAAAAAAGAAAATCAGTATACTAAAGCAATTTTTACCCAATCTGATCCAAATTATCCTCTAGACATAAATCAATTTATACATTCTCTTTGCTTTGCTCTGGAACTCACTGTGCTTCGATCTGAAACGCACACAAATCAGTCCAAACTAGGCCAATTGGGTTAGAAATTTGGCATTCAGATAGATCAAGGGAACATCTCTAAAATGCAGCCTTAGTTTCCAGAAAGTATTCCTACCTGTCTTCTAGAAGCCACTGCACTATTTATACCCTTGTTGGCCACTTTCGTCTTGTCCAGGGAAGCCGAGTTGTTCTTCCATGGCTTGGAGTTTTCTTTAGGATCTGAAGAGATGGGATTCAGGAACAATATCCTGGCGATTAACCCATAAAGAACAGTTGCTAATATCATCGGCATGACATAAAATATTCCAAAGTCCATCATATAGATTGGAGAATAGTAGCTCCTGGACACTTTATACCCACAGGCGACTGTGGTGGTATCTTTGTAGATGACCGTGTTGAGATCTAACAAGAAAAACCAGAGCATGCAGTAGATGGAGGTGAATGCCCAGACAAAAATGATGATCTTTTTGGCTCTAGAGAAAGTGCATAAAAACTGGGCTTTGATAGGGTGGCAAATAGCTATGTACCTCTCAACAGTGAAGGCGGTTATAGAGCAAGAAGATGCATTAATGCCAAGGTACTGGAGATAAGTAATACAGAGGCATCCGATGTAGCCATACACCCAGGATCCATAGACACTCTCGGTGATATTGGGAAGTCCGGCAGCCACCAGAACCATGAGGTCAGCTACCGCAAGGCTCACCAGATAACAATTGGTTGGGGTCCTCATGTGCTTTGTCCTAATTACTACCAGTACCACCATGATGTTGCCCACAATGCCTAACCCACAGATGATGAGAACCAAAGAGATAGTGACCACTTGATATTCAATGGTGATCACCTCCCGGTTGGGCAAGAATTCTGTTTCATTCTCTCCAGTGCTGGTGTTGTTCTCCATCTTCATCTGGCTGGCTTCTACCTGTTAGCTTCCCGGTCAGCACATTTTCTCCTTGTCCACCTAGGAAAGGTAAAATCATAGTGAACCCAGAAGAAGAGGAATTAATTGTGTATGATCCACATCATTAAAATGCCTATATTTATCAGACCCTTGGATCCCAATGGTTTGTTGACCTCTCCCTCATACACATGAATTCTGTTGTCACAAAGGTAGGGTCTGTTTCTCACTGTCCACTGGCTAGCAATTTCTAAGCAACTGTTCTATGAGACAACTCAGATACTTACAGCTATCATCCAAAGTATTCTTTTTCTGTTGAGCCCGTAAAGGGTGAAGGATCAGAGTTGGTTTTCCACCTAACAGTCATTCCTAACTGCTGTGAATCATGTAGTGAAGTTGTTTCTATTACAGAACCTTAAAGATTAGCAAGGTTTCTTTTATTTTGCCATAAACGTTCACTGAAGGGTGGTGTAGGCTGCAAAAACTTATACCAAAGCCAACAGAAAACACCTTGCTATTTTTGAAAATGCAACCAGACTTATATTTTTTTCAGTGCTGAAGGTAGTCCAGCTGATGACTGCACGTATATTCTTAAGCTGACACTACGTTTGGACTTGAAAAAGAAAGAGAGAAATGTGTACAGCAGCACATTCTATCCGTTTAAACTTTTCTTCTCCCGACGGTTTCACACAGCATTGAGTTGGGGCGTGAGGTCTAAGAGACTCAAGACATCTAATTTAAGGCATCCTTTGCAGGAGGTGACCCTAGGAAGTCATGCTGAGGGTGCAACAAAAGGGTACAGAGAGAGAGGGAGAGAGAAGCATGTCAAACTAATTAGAGTCACAACCCTGTCTGCTTTATCCTTTTTCACTGGTAGTCATTGCCGACAGCATGCATTGATCAGCTTTGGCTGGCTGAAGGAGATTCTACTCTACCCCCGCAGACCCATGGTGTGTTTGAGTGTATGTGTTTGTGTGCCTGCGTGCTTAATAAGAAAGCACTTTCCCCCTCCTCAGCTCTGCCCTTGTTCTATAAAATATGAAATAGAGAACTTACCTTCAGCTTTGTTGAGTTTTCAGAGCCGTGCATGTTCAATCTGAATCGACAGCTTGAGTTCCTGTTCTACTTTGGTCTGGTCAGATATAAATAAATAAATAACCAAATGGTGCCCTTCCCTCCACAAATAATGCTGCAGAGAACACCAGTGGTGATGGCTGAAGCTTCATACTGACACCAACATCCTCTAAGGCTTCCGAGGGATGAGCCCCATCATCTCAAAGCAACCGAGCTGTCAAATCACAAACTGCTTCTTAATGAGAGCAGATACACAAAGTCTATGCTAAAATCACAAGCCCTATGTTTCCCATTACGGAAAGCAGGACCTCTTTCTGGAATACAATTTTAATTCAAGATTGCTGTTTAAAAACACAGCAGCAAGCCCCTACAGAGTCAGGCAAACCAAATCTGTGTCAGTTTCTTTAGGAGTGCAACTAGGAAACCCAAAAAGTGATGTGTTGCTAGTGCTCCCTTACATATATGTGATCTCTCTCCTTCCCTCTCTCTCGCTGCTCTATGCCCTGCGATGAATTTCTACACTTCAGGGTAAATGAGAAAGAGGAGGGTCTGGTCTGCCTGGAAGTCAGTTTCATTCTTTCTTTTTCTTTTTCTTTTTTTCAGTGTCGTATTAGACAGTAGCAGGCACCTTTATATATTACTCTGCTACTACTGTATACTGTTTTGATCCTCTCTCTCTCTCTCTTTCTCTCTCTCTTTGTCTCTCTCTCTCTAGTCGATTTGGGTACTAAAAGGCAACAGATAAACTTACTTTAGAAATCCAATTTTCCTTTTCTATGTGTAGAGCATTTCCTTTGGTTCAATTGTAGCACTTCTAGAAATAATAACTGGTGTGAGCAGAGAAAAGAGAAATTGGGCTTCTTAGCAAAATCTGGGTTGAAGAGGCTGCGTGTTGAAGGAACCACATTTTAAACATGCATTTGGAAAGCAGAATTTCAGTCACTTTAAAATAACGTAAAGCGTTAGAGAAAAATGAACACTTGCCACAACCTTCTGCACTATCTGCAGCCTGTGGATTGAATGTAATATTTTGATTGGCTGTTCAGGGTTCTCACTTCTAGAAATAATAACTGGTGTGAGCAGAGAAAAGAGAAATTGGGCTTCTTAGCAAAATCTGGGTTGAAGAGGCTGCGTGTTGAAGGAACCACATTTTAAACATGCATTTGGAAAGCAGAATTTCAGTCACTTTAAAATAACGTAAAGCGTTAGAGAAAAACGAACACTTGCCACGACCTTCTGCACTATCTGCAGCCTGTGGACTGAATGTAAAATTTTGATTGGCTGTTCAGGGTTCTTTCTTTCTTTCTTTTTTGGGACATTCTGGATTACTAATGTTTTTCTATATCTCATTATTTATGTCCTTGTGGATGGTGAAGGGTAATTCTGTTTTTAACTGTTGTTACCCACCCAGAGTAGTGTGAAGGCACTATATGGGTGGGGTATGAATGCAAGGAATAAAATAAATAAAAAATAAGTTTGGCCTTACTTAGTATTCTTTAGAGTAATCAAGACATGGCATTATTAACCCATGGGTCACTATGGTGAGGCTCTCCTCCTCTAGAAACAACTGTAGATGCCATAGCAGGCAATGCTGGTAAAAGCCACTTCCTGGCACTGTGGTCACTTGGGTCTTTAGTGACAATGGTAGGGCTGGGCAAAGTGCAGTCCATGGGCCACTTGTTGGTCCCCAAGTATGTTCTTGTTCCATCCAGGTCCCCACAAGCCCCTCCCCCACACCTTCCTGCTCCAATGTTTTTAGCTACAGTGGTTTTCTCCTCTTGGAGGCTTCCAAGATTGGTGGAGATTTTTACAAGGGTGGGGGGTTGCAGAGAAATGTTGAGCATTTCCAAGTCTGTTGAACATTGCTGAGGTTGCTGAGATGAGGATTGTGCCAGCAAACCCTCCAAAGTTATCCTCTCCGATCTAGGAGCACCCCTTAGTCTACATGGCTTCTCCTTCCAACAGAATGAATCCCACTAAGAAGAGGCAACCTGCTTAATCCCTGGATATGAGAACCAGTCCTAGAGGATCTCAGTCTCAGGAGGGCTCAAGGTCAACTTATGGTCCATATTTGCTATTGCATCCAGGCATTGATCTGGAACCTGAGTCAGATGTGACAACTAGGCAATGATCTGTGTCAGATGTAGCAGAGAACTGACTAGGGCTGAGTGCTATCAGTATACCTCTGGCAGTGAACATGGAAATAACACCTGAAATCCTGTTGCTTAACATAGTAACTTGCAACTAGAGTCAGCCCATTGAATTAGTGGGGATTTGGCAGATTAAATCCTCTGTAAATTCCACTGATTCAAGGTGCCTACTCTTACTGACCAATGCCTGAAAATGGCCTTCAAATTCTAAGATTTTTTTTTTAAAGTAACCTTGAGATAAGCTATGCTCCTTAAAAATGTTGATTGACATTCCCCTCTGTAGAGGTGACTATGTCAATGTATTACCTTCTTCCCCCAAGAGAAAAGGGTTTATAGTTCTCTTTAGAACTTGGACTAGTACACCCAAGAATGTATGGTATTTTTCAGAGCTTCTGGAAATTGTAGTTTAAGAGCATCAGGAAACCCAAAATGATGAAGTCTTTTTCACATCTCAAGGAAGCTGCCTTTTGCATTTGCAGTCACCTGTGGAATAGCTGGAAAGAACTGGATTCAAAATGTAGACAGCATCTTAAAGAGCAGAGACATCACCTTGCCGACAAAGGCCCACATAGTTAAAGCTATGGTTTTTTCCAGTAGTGATGTATAGAAGTGAGAGCTAGACCATAAAGAAGGCTGACCACCGAAGAATTGATGCTTTTCAATTGCGGTGCTGGAGGAGACTCTTGAGAGTCCCCTAGACTGGAAGGAGATGAAACCTATCCATTCTAAAGGAAATCAACCCTGAGTGCTCACAGGAAGGACAGATCCTGAAGCTGAGGCTCCAATACTTTGGCCATCTCATGAGAAGAGGAGACTTCCTGGAAAAGACCCTGATGTTGGGAAAGCGTGAAGGCAAGAGGAGAAGGGGACAACAGAGGACAAGATGGCTGGACAGTGTCACTGAAGAAACCAACATGAATTTGACCAAACTCCAGGAGGCAGTGGAAGACAGGAGGGCCTGGCGTGCTCTGGTCCAAAGGTTCATGAAGAGTTGGACACGACTTAACAACTAAACAATAACAGTTGTCTGTGTTCATAAATGTAACAGTACAACCCCTCCTTCTCACACTGGAAGGGGTTTTATTTTCTTTTTTTTCTATATTCTATTTGAAGAGAATTTTTTTTTTGAGGGGGAGATGTTTTTGAAAGTAACCCAGATGTTAGGTACCCTGAATCTGTTTTCTTGCAGATACAATGAAAAGTGAACAAAATTTCCATTATTGGCCTGTAGCTTAATTGCTTAATTAGCCTCACTGGAGGTGTGGTTACACAACTGAAGTAAATCAGGTGAAGGATCAGGGGTTTTGACGTCAGTTTAAAATCACTGTGATAGTCACGTGGTTTTGGAGTCAGTGTGAGTCCTCTTGAGATGACATTTAATCCATTTTTAAGATGTTTTATATATTGGTCATGGGGGTGACACAGGCTTTTAAAATCACTGGATTTGAGACTTTGCCCAGTGTTTGCCCTCCCTCTCACTTGTATATGTGCTCAACTGTGTGGGGTTTCTCAACTAATGGATGCCAGCATTACAGGTTTCAGGCTGCAGGGAAACCTTGCAGTCCAATCTCTAATTCTCCTCCCCATCTGTAATATTGAACTAGCGGTATCCCAGTTTGAAAGAAATAAACAAAAAAAGCAAATATTAAAAATAAAATTCATGATGGCACCAGCAATGAGTGGCTGTGAGAGGCAGCCAGTGTGAGATCAGGCAGATGCAGGACAAAGCATCAAGTGCAATTATTTTGCAGTGCCCACCTAACCTCAAGCTGCAAATGTAAAGGGAAACAATCCAGATGCCTAATCCATAGCTAAATTTAAGTATGCTTATTTAGGACTAAACCCTACTGACCTTAGTGACATTTTTCTGTAAGTTAACATCAAAGCTTGGGGAAGTTAACTTTTGGATATGTGCACCCTCATCCCACCACACCTCACCCATGGTTTCAGATATAATGCCTAACTAGGGCTTATATTGAACTGACTGGCAATGGCTCTCCAAGGTTTCTGATGATGGCCTTCCTAATCTTGGAGGTTAAGTTTAAGGCCTGCTACATTAAAAAAAAAGCTGGGTTTTTTAAAAAAAGGGAATGGCTATCCTCTGTGATGAGTCTATTTACCCTCTTACAATGGAATTTCCTCAGAAACACTAGGTGCAAAATATGCTGTAGAACCTGAGGTGATACAGCAAATAGGCATCTTTCACTATGTGAAGGAACAGCTATCTGATAATTATGCTAAACATTATCATATAGTTTGACCCATAGTCTGTGCTCTGCCAGTTGCGCTATGGCTCTTAGACTCTGACATGGACCTGTTTCTAATACTTTACTCCACTGGCCTCTGGAAATTACACATGTCAAGACTCAGGTGGCTATCTCAGGCCCAAAGCAACAAGTACATGGTAAAGGTTTATTTACCCTGACCAACCGAAGCCTGTTGTTCAGTGTTCGACACATGCTTTTTGTCATCTGCTGTTTCAATGCTAATCATCTTGGCATCATTTTGAAACCAGAAATACATCAATCACATCTGGTGTTTACAAGCAAATGATGAGCTGCCTCGTGCAGTCTGAGCTCTTCGTAGCTCAGTAGCTACTTGTTCCAAATGGTAGGATTCCATTCATTAATCTTAACTGATTCCAAAACATAGATAAACCAATCATCTTCAATTGCATATTCTATTCTCTATAACGGCAAACGGCCAAGCATATGCTGCTGTAGACTGGCATCATTCCAGGCTGGAAGGGTACTTTCATGAATGGCCATTGCATCAGATTTTTGGCCAGAGATTTTAGAATTAGGAGGAATATAAAGATGTATCAGCTCACTAGGATCAGATAGATAAAGTTTTGTTGGATTATTTATTTATTCATTTATTTTGTATGTTGGGTATATTTTATATTAGGGATTTGGTTGTTCCTTCTTGATAGCACAGCACATGACAGAAAAACAAAGAAATGTAAAGGACTTAGCCCAGTCTCACTGCCCTTCTCTTAATGGACAAAATTAGCTCTTTCAGTAGCAAAATGTCACTTTATATGCATGTTTAAGTAGATAAAGTAAGTTTACTCATGTTATCATCAGAAGTTAGAGTCAGAAGGGGAAAGGGGGATAATGATGAACTCTTCAGAAGGCAGGAAGC